CTATTATTTATTACGGCTGTTAGCACGTTCTCCGACAAGCGGAAGCAATGAGACCTGTTTTCCGGGTTTGCTCAGGTGACGTTCGACATATACCCTATTTATTAGGTCTTTCCGCTTATTCGGTTGCCGAACATTCGGTGCATCACTAATAATTAGATAGGGAATATTAGATCTTAGATCTCCGATCCTTGATTGTCGATATAAGAAGGTACTAAAAATTCAGGGCTGAACAGAAACCAGATATTCAAAGTTTGCAAATACTGCAAATATCTGTAAATGAATGATCATTCTGTAATTGCTAATGGATTTTAATGAAGGTTACTTTTTCTTTTTTTTTAAAAAGGGAGCAAAATCATGTAGTAACAGGGTTGTGTGTAAAATGTTTTTTCTTAATTAAAATTAGTTATTTAAAAATAATATTTTTGCTACAGTTATATTGAATTTCAATAAAATAGATTGTCGGTGCCACCTTTTAATGCATTTAAAATGAGTTACTTTGAATGGTAAATTCATTTTATGTTAGATAATCGACTTGATCTTACAACAACAACTGAAAAAAAAATTTGATTTGTGCCTTTAATGGTTAAAATCATGGGATACCAGGGTGTACCGTATTTGTGGAATGTGCCACCTGAGTTGAATTAATTAGTTTATGAAGATACTATGGAAATCCCATATAATGCAGGAAAAGCCCACCTGCCCCCTTGCCTAATTTATGCTATTATACTATCACAATAAATTAGGCAATTCATGATGAACAGAATTAAATCAATGTTCGTCAGCTTCACTAATTGGAAGATGGTTCCATATTAACTTGTGCTCCAATTTGCATATTGACCCGCACAACCAAAAGCCAGTCAAAACAAAGAATGGAAGGCATGTCTGCTGCTGAAAAAGGGATTTAAATATTTGAAGATGGCATTCTCTTAAAAAAAAAGCAATAGATGTCTGGAAGAAACCCCCCCACCACCACCACCATCACCCCTACACATGTTTTGATAGCAGCGACATCAATGACCGGTCTGCTAATTAGTAATAGCACATTATATCAGGCTCCATCCAAGACCTAATGAGGTGGAGCTTTGCTGAGGCAAAAGGGTGCAGCACTCTGGGTGACAGGAAGGTAACAACATTGTAAGTGTGTGTGTTTCCTTGGAGGGTAAATGCTGATGTAACACAAATGCTCAGCTGTCCTTGTGCTTGCTATTTCTCTTACGTTGTACACTGAATTTTTCTGCAGTTTTTTTTTCTTTTAGTCAGTTTTGGTTTTTGCTGAATATATCCATTAAGTTTAGTCAGTATGTCATGTTCATTAATTTTAGTCAGTTTTTAAATGGCGTCCAATTTTAGCGAACAAAAATAAAGTTTTAGTTGATGAAATTGTGCAAAATTAAACCAAATATTCAAACATGTTAAATGTTGATACAGGTTTAAATTAATACAGTATTTAACAAGTAGTCTCTTTATGCTTTAGTTATTGAGTGTGTTATGGTTTGAGTTTATTCATAACGTGACTTGCAAATTCTAACTAGCACAGAACCCCTTCTCTTGTCATATTTTTGTCAACTGTTTATTTGAATTAAAATTAAGTTATGTCATGATATTAATTTTTGTCTCATTGAATGAAAAACCTTCATTAGCAAACACTTTGTTGATCATTTAATTGACAAAAAATCTATCTTTAAAAAAATGTATTATATATTGTGTGTGTTACATTATTAACACGCATCCTCGGATCCCTCAAAAAGGCACAGCATCAGTAATGTGATATTTTCTCTCCTTCATCCAACATTCTTTTCGGTGATGTATAGAATCCACAGATGGTGGCAGATGATATTTAACTGTAAGCCAGCTGAGCCGAGGCCCCACTGTAAGCCCACGATCTGTCTACTGCCTTTTTTAGCGATATATGTAAATAAGAGATTTACATTGTCTGCCCCTCTTCTCAACCCCACCCATCATGTTTCCAAGAAAACAGATTAGCAGGACTGAGTGTCGGAGGCTGGTGGAAGGCTAATGAGGTCACATCTATAGGGGCTTAAGGAGATGCTCTTCAGATCTTTATTCGTTCCTCAGCATCTGTGTCTGGTTAATGACCAGTGTTGGGCAGTAACGCATTACTTAGTAACGCATTACTGTAATTTGATTACTTTTTTAGTAACGGAGTAATTTAACGCGTTATAATTTTCAAAATAGTAATTAGAGTATAGTTACAAGCCAAGGTCTCTATACGTTACTGCCGCGTTACATTGCTGACAGAATGCAGTGTTTTATAATCTAGAGATTGTAAAAAGGATGTAGCACACGCACTGTCGAGTCCAGTGCCAGTGGATTATAGACCTACTCCCGCGAGACCCGACGCAACACAGCGGCGCGGGACAAGGTGGGCGAGTGCTGCTATAACAGAGATTTGTGAGATTGCGATGAACTGAGATGTCTTTTAGAGATTATAAATGCAGCGCTCTTTCCTGGCATTCTGCCATCCAAACCATGCAGCAGCCGCTTACTTTAGTTAAAAATAACAGTTTTCTGTGAATGTTGATGTTTTAATAACAAATATTTATCGGGAGCGTGTATGCTGGGATTTCACGAATTTAATGGAGAAAAAGTAACGTAACTAGTAATGTAACTAATTACTAATTACTTTTGAAATAAAGTAATCAGAACAGTAACGTGATTACTTTTAAAAGGAGTAATCAGTAATTTGATTACATTTTCAGAGTAACTTGCCCAACACTGTTAATGACATTCCTCCCATCCATCCGTTCAATCACCGCATACCTGTGTCCCTTAGTGTGGTAAACAATCTCAAGTATGTCTGATTCAGTGACATTTGCATGAAAGCTGGATGAACACGTTATCAGAATGCACAAGATGGGATTTGATGCGTCAGTTTGGTGTTTTTCTATTTATGTTTTTCCTCCCTGGAATTCAGAAAGTGTTGTTATGGATTCCGACCTGAGATTTTTTTATTTTTTTTTTGACCAGATGTTTGACATTCTTTAGAGTGTGCCATTTTTTCAAAAGGTGAATGAATGATTGTATACGTGAGGTACTTAAACAAATTCTTCTGATTACTGTGCAAGTCTTTAGTCTTAGAAAAGATATGGACTAACTAACGTGAATACTTTGAATATCAGAAGCAAGTTATTTAAAGTTATGCTTGTGGGCAAAATGAGCAGCAGTGTGCTTTATCCATGATGGTGACTTAAAATAGTTTCTTTTGTCTGGTCTTTGTAATGTCTTTTGAAATGTCAGCAATTCAAGGTGTAAGCTGGGTTTCTTTCAATATAATCCGGTTAGTTTATGTATATGCCACTTTATGGTTCTCTCTGTTCGTTTTATTATAGGATATACTTGGCAGGATGACACAACTCCGGAGGTAATCTCAAAAGAGCTCTCACAACTGCCCAAGGTTCCTCTTGAAGGATTTACAAACACCTTTTCTCGTTTCAATGGCAATTCCAGGTGAGCTCCTAAATCCTCTGTTGTGTTTAGCATCCGTGACAATAATGTGTTTATGAAAACTGTTGTTGTAGTAGTTGTTGTTGCAATCTTTTATTAATTCAAGTTTAGTATTTTTATGTAACAGCGGTTGATAAGACAAGAAGTTTCATTCGTTAACATTAGTTTATGCATCTGGTGTCTTGAAATACTTTTGCAGCATTTAATTATCTAAGTTAACGTTAATTTATAGATATACTATTGTTCGTAGTTAATTGTTGTTTGTTCATATTTCATTAACTAGTGTTGATTTATACAACTTGTGAAATGTTAATCAAGCTTTATATATACCGTAAAAGTATTTTTTATTAATAGTGAATGCATCTAATGTTGACAAATTGAAGTAAAGTGATAATCTGATAAGGACATGTATGCATTCTAAACACTTTTTATCTTCTAAAATCTGTTTATCTGTTTTTAAACATGGGATTGTTTTATAAATGTTCCCCATGGGGACAGGAAGCTGAAAGAAGAAGTGAGCAGGACACTGCAGAGGTACCGTCAAGGTTTCCTGCCTTCTGATGTTGCCTCCAAACAGAGTCCTCAAGGGCAGCAAGTGCTTTGGAAGGTGAATCTCCAACAACTATATATATATGAATAGTTCTGTTTGCGCACATATCACTTGAAATATTTGGATGCATAGTGACTATATGGCAGTTGTCCTTAAAAGTGTCCTTAAAATCTTCAGCTTGGGGCTGTAAACAACTGGGCAGAACTACCACATATACATGGATACCTTGTTGATGGCTACAAAATACAGTAGTTACTAAATGCATTATTTTAATGCAATTCTAACAAATGCGCTGTACATGCTGTGGAAAGTCAAGTTTTGCAAAAATTGCCATGTATTGCTACTTGCTCAGCACTTCAATAGACAACTGTCAGATAAGCACATAGCTACTGGGGACATGTAATCCGAGATTCAACCTGCTTGGTACACACAAACCATCACCAAACAACTGTTCTTGAAGTTAACAGTTGTGAGAGTTGAAAAGTTCACTGCACTATTGAACATTAGTGTCCTGCTGTGCTTTTGGAGCCAGCCGTGTGTATGTGCTGGGCTGTTCATCGAAGCCCACCCTGCTGTTCTATAGTCAGTTTGGCCTTCTATTCTGCAATGGTGGGAAGAATATAATTGTTTTATATAATCTCTCATATAGAGTAGGCTTGCCGCGATAGACGGTGCTGCCGGTGATACCGGTGTTAAGCCGCAACACCGATTACGTCACTTGCCCACCGCGTCACCGACCCCCACCGTGGTTTAGATTTTTTTATAGAAATAAAAATCATTTAGTTCAGTAAAAGAACAGACACTACAATTAAAAACTGAACGCGGCTGCTCAATGCAGCGTGCCAAACAACAGTCGCATCACAGATCAGATTTAATTTCTCCAGTGAGGAGAGTGAGTCGAGCTGACTGACAAGAAGAGTGA